AGAACCTAGTGACATCTAGTTGTTCCCTCTGTTGTTGCTGAACCTTAACATCTAGAGTGAGGGGATGATAGACATTGAGTTCATTTCTGAGGTTCTTCATACTGGCATAGTACTTTTCTAGGGTTTTATTCCCTTGCTGCAGATCGAAATACTCCTGATAGAGCTGATATACCCTTGTAGTATTATCCTACCCAGAATAAAGCTTCTTAGCATGTTCCCATATGTCCTTAGCTGTATCTAAGAACATAAAGTTGGCAATTATTTTGGGTTCCATACTATTCCATAACCATGTCATGATTTGGGCATCTTCCTATTCCCAGTCATCAAACCTTGGAGAGTCAGTTGATGGTTTATCTTCCTTCACGTGTTTCACTTTCCTCTTTGCCTTGAGGAAAACTTCCACTGACTTGGCCGATGGCACATAATTCTCACCATTAAGTTTAATGGAGGTCATCTGCACACCCAAATAATAAGAGGGGATCATCACACTCGGTTTCTGGTCACTAGAACCATCTCCCGTTGCTACCATTATGTCTCCCCCACTACTATCTCTAATGCTGAACTCTCAGTCACCAACCAAATACTACAGCAGCCAAGGCAACACTATAGCAATCTCTAAACTCAGGTGATAGGTTCACAACAAGTCACAATCAATCACCACTGTGCACAAACTACCATTCAGATTAAGAACAAAAGGTAAACCAACATTTAGACAACACCAACAAGGCAAAAAACTGATGTAGGCAATGCGGTCATTCCTTCCAACCAAAAAAACAAACAACTTTTGTTCTTGCTCACACCACTACTAATTACACAGAGCCATAAATCACCACTACAATAATTCAGCAATTTACTAACCACATACAAGCCCTCTTGAGGCTGCTCAATAAAGGGTGAGCATCAAAAGCATCACCACACCACCATCTCTGTCCTACATAGTACAGGTCTGTCTAACCCTTTTAAAGGTCACTACCAGTCCAAAGACATCAACTACAACCACTACAGTAACCCTTACACCATTCAGTCACTGTAAACAAAGCCTGTTCTTGGGCCTTTTGCCAAGAACCAAGGCTACAAATAACCTAGTTCTTTAAGTTCTGATCAGTCCAAGCAGATTTTTGAGGGTTTTCCAACCCAGAAACACCAACAACACAAAAAAAAAGGATAACCAACCTTGATGGAGAGATTCAGTCGACCATCCACTTATTTCTGGAGTTATTCTCTTGAAAGGCAATCAAGTTCTAAGCAGAGAAAGAGAGGCCGAAGTGTTCTCAGACCTAAGTCGAGTCTGTGTTCTCCATTTGCAGTCCAGAGAGAAGAAAAAGAAGTCACAAACAAAAAGGAGCAACAGTCACGAGCAGAGATTTAAAGAGCAACGTCCTACTCTGATACCATGTTATCTCAGTGGCTTCAGCAGTTCGAACCAGAGGAAGAAGAAGAAGAAGAAGAAGAAGAAGAAGAAGAAGAAAAGGAATAGTCGAATCTGATAGCTTAAACCCTATCAGTCAACCCTAATATGAAATAGCCTCTAATTAGTTGTACAAAGACTAAAGTGCCCCCCACTTAAGTATGGGACAGGAAGTCTCTATTAAAACTACCACATAAGCACATAACTTAACAAAAATAAAATAACTAATCTACCCTTATTCAGCTAGCTCTAACAAGGATAATTTATGATGATGATGACGATTAAAACCGCTTGTCCAAATGAAAGCACAAAATATATACAACCTCCTATCTACAAGATAATAACAAAGCATATCGCCAATCTTCTATGTTCAAACCATTTTCTCTTACCAAATTTAGGCATTAATCAAATGATATCACTTATAAAAAAAAATATAACTGCTACACATAAAAATTAGCTAGGTAAAGAAATACATCAACAGCTACTCTTTACTACTGCAGATAAAAATAAGAAATTAACAAATATGAGAGGGGATTCTTATCCTGTTTTTTATTTTTCGAGATTTCTTGAATAGAACATGTTTCAACAAACACTTGAAAGGAAATGGCGAAGGCCTATAACTTATCCTTCGTAATCTACTTTTACCTGCACAAAACAGAACAGGAAGCAATAAGTAATCACTGAAATAATATGTAAGTAAAAAATAATTACAGCGCTAACTCATATTAGGAGAGGATAAAATGATGATCCCAAATCCCAACTCAAACAAATTTTAAGAATCAGATAAGCAGAAATTATGAGTTTATTCACTGATGAAACTTAATATTTGACAATAAAGTGAAATTTTTGTTAAACAATACTTAGCAAGCCCAAGCATCAAAACATTTCAGATAAAAGGCTATATTCTTTCAAATAATACTGCAGGCACCAAGTCCTAAAGTAAAATCATAGAATTTTAATCTTATGGAATGAAGTTTAAATCAAGGTAAGCCCCTTACCCAATTTAGACTTGTCCAATGTCATGGTGTTGTTTTGAGTCTTTTGACAGTTAACTCCTTTTTGCTCTTCTGTTTCAATTAAAACCTCCTTTAGTGGCTCATCGTCTAAGATCAAGTCTGCATCTCCTTTCATCTCATCATAAGATTCTGGGAACTGCATCTCACCTATAAGAGGAACTACACCATCTCCATGCTCCTCAATCCCTTCTGCTTTTGCAAAACCATCTTGCAAAGGCACATTAGATACACTCAAATGAAAGTCTCTTTGCTCCTGGTCTACTCTCTCAGCTATGACTGACTTCATTCTAATATCCTGGACACCTGAAACTGCATCAACATTTTTTTGCAAACACCCAATGTCCATGGATGGAGTAGAGTGTTCCAGAGTATCAACCGATGATACCAGATCGCCTTCAATAGGAGAAATACACTTTGATGGTGAAACCACATCCAACATACCAGACTCCATAGGCTCATTGCATGCATCAGAAGCAGGAACTATAGTGGTATCACCTGGAAATGCAGGATTTTCAGAGGTAGTCATGAGATCTCTGGACGCTATATCATGCAGTTCTGTTCCAACTGTAGCCAAAATGGGGTCACACCTATTTGAACTCCTAAGCTCCCCATCCCATGGTTTAGGAGTCTCTTTCTGGGAACCAATGAAAACTGCTGATGTATCATTTGGTGTCACAGGCTCCAGAAAACCTTCAGAACCAGAGGTTTGATGCTTTAACGGAGATGTCCAATTTTCATTAGGAACTTCATTGATGCAATTTGATTGATTGGACACTTTAACAACAGCAGCTAATCCCTCAGGATTCTTGGCTGCATGTAACAGGTCTGAAGTATTATCTGGTGCCTGCAATTCAGCTCCAGTGCCATACACTGAATCCATTAATTGCATATTGTTTAACAGTGTTCCTTCTGAGATTGAAGTAAAATCAATGGCTTTTAAAATCTTGGGGTCTTCAGCAGATGAAGAGAACATCTTGGAAATATCATCTAACAGAAGATCACCATCACCACTAGAAATTTGATCCCAATTATGACATTCCACAAACCAAGGCTCCGACTTCATCTGTTCCCCAGATGAAATTTTTTCAATTTTTATGGCCTCCTTGAAATATTTCTTCTTCTTCAAAGAACCAGCTATCAGGGTCCTGCAAAATATAAAATAGAAGATAGAGAATCTAAAAATCCAAGTTCTATTTCTTAAAAGAAAAGGAACACCAGCAATTCTGCAATTTAACATACCTGCAGTTCTTGGAAATAGCTGCTTTAGCTCGTTCCATAGAAAGGCCAAACAATGATGATAAATTTGCAACGTCATATGGCCCTCTAAGTTCATTTACGGTAGGGACAGCACTTGAGAAAATGAGATTTTTCCCTCGTGTCCAGTCCACCAGCAACTGAAGGTTGTATACATGTTTTTGATTGTTAGGTTGTAGATTATATATTAGATGAGTAAATTAATGCTCACTCTAAATGACAAAGTACAGCATGCACAAGATACACATGGAGGTTTAAATAAATGAATCCAGCTATTCCTTGTTCTGCCACCAAATCTTGTCAAATTGAAACTCCACATCAATGTCCCAAAAAAATTCACTCATTGAGATTAATAAACAAAAAATGCCCATATTTTTTTATCAAATGTATTTATTTTGTTCAAATTTTCTGAATAACGAATACCAACTGCTCCTATTGGATCTTCCAAGAAAGTGTTACATAATAACTCACAACTGAATGTGGATGCAACTTTTGATTTTTCTTTACTAGAAACCATACTGGAAATGATGATATACTTCCCAATACAAGCATTTCTTGTTCAGTCCTATTACTAGCATACCTGCTCGTTTTCTCAAGTAACAAAGCAAGAGATACCCTCTGTAGATGTCCAATTCAATTGATAAACTCATAGTTAATTTTCCTTTTGATATTATCAAATGATACTATGGTAAGATAAATGTTCAGAGGACAGTTTTTCCTATTGTCACCCAATATCTTTCATGTGTCATTTTAACTGATTTATTCCTAGTAGGATTTCATTACTGATCTTATCTTGGTTGGTCAATTGTTTAGCAAGCACAAGTCATATCTTACAGAATTTTGTGCCCTTCTCTATCTACTGGGACATCTAGAAAGAAAGAAATCTCAGAGTCAGCTTGGTCATGGGAAAGGTGGAAGTGCAAAGTCTTTTGCTGGTCTTCCAGATAAAGAAATTTGATGGTCTGATGTTCTCTCAATTTTGTAATGCCTAGGCCACTATCTTTTCCTTTATGGTTTGATTGTTGTCTGAATGTATATTTCGTATCTGAGCACACATTTTTGCTATAGAGTATAGGCTCATCCCCATCATGGCTCTCTATATAGTTGCTGCATTTATTTAATGGTTGGGATTGACCATCAGAAAATGAGACGCCTGAATAGTTATGAGTTATAACAAGCCTAGACCATTCTATGGCTATGTAGACCCTAAACGAAGATATTACCTTTTAAGAATATGTTCAATAACTCAAGCCGCAAAAAAAAAAAAGATGAATATCAATAAACTACCTGTTCAAAATGTGGGATAATAGACCACAATTGTGTGTATGTAGTGTAGTCTCCATATAAACTCGTTTTTCAATAGATAACAATACAATATTGTCAGAAAGAAGATAGAGCACCAGACCTTAGCAAGGAGGCTGGCTACAAGAACAAAGAAAAAGATGCAACAATCACCAAGGTGATTGCATAAGAAAAAGGAAGTAGCAATACAAGCCCAGGTTCATAAAATCACATTGGGTTTGGGAGTCATCTTTTGAGAAAATGGTTCACTTCCCACCTTTTTATCCAGCAATAAAAGAGCATTGACGTGCCTTACCAGCAGCACACAAACAACATGAAGGATTTTGATTTGGCATTGGACATGTACAAAATTTCTTTTATCTTTTGCTTCATTTGTTTCTGTTTTATTTCAGTAAAAAAGTGCAGAACTAGCCTAAGAAGCATGACTGCAGAGAGGAAAATTGTCCTCATTTTATGACACTAATCAATATAGAAGATATTATTTTATATGAAAACAAGACAAGGAAAGTTATTAATATGAGCAACAATTAACAATTTGAGACTATTTATCAAAAAAAAAAAAGAAACGACTAACAATTTGAGACACAACAAGCAGCGAATATTTATATCCAATTATACATGATTTCGCACCTTTGCATTTGAAATCATTTGCCTCCTAGCTTGAATGTCAGAGATAAGGGGAGAGTAGGTAATCTCGAAATATATCCCGCGCTGCACATTGATATGCAAGTAAAAGTTTATTGGATTCATTCTTCAATAAAACAGAATAAGAAAAATAAAATAAAAACCTTTGAGAAGTGAAGAAGAAACCTCTATTGCTGCTTTGACCATGGGTAGCTTCAAACGAAATGGTAGGTTCTGAGAGAAATCTATTGCAATCAAATCTACCTACGTCGGAAGTTTGAAGCGAAGATAAGGTCCACTTTACATTGATGATTCACGATAGAATTGAAAGAAACAAATTGTAAAAAGCAAAAAAGAAAGATCTGTGCCCCACAAACCTCAGAAACCTTGCAGGCTTCTTCAAACGTAACCTGATTCAGAGGGCGAACAGCAACCAAATCGTAAGTCTTGAGCACAGGATTTCCGGAATTCAAGGCGCGAATCTGAAGAGAGCTGTCGACAATGACCGTCAAACGAGTATACTGACGAAAGGGAGAGGATGAAGGAAGTCCCAAGAGCTCTCTGTGAAACTTAACGGAGGTGGAGAGAGAGGGGGCCACTTTGAGAAGAGAAGAGAGAGGAAAGAGAGAGATGGTGCATCGATCGGAATCGGACATGACGCCTTTGATGGAACGATTAAAAGCGACTCCAGTGTAGCCGAGTTCCATTGCCTTCACTACAATCTTTAGTCTCGTGTCCTTCTTGCTGCTCTTATTGGGTACATGTTTTTCTGATCCTCCTCCCTCCAGGTAAGGCACGTTGAGGTCGAAGAACCCCATTCCTCTTTCTCTTCACTTGTTACCTCACCAACTGCAGAGACCCGCGCGAACTAGAGCTAGGCGGCAGCACAGACTTTTTACGCTTATGGGTTTTGGGTTTTGCTTTTAAAATTGGGGTTTTTCGACTAAGGAGTATAAATACAAATATGTGCAGGGCAAAACCTTCTATTTTATATTATTTTGTATGTAATTGTATTGTATATATTTATATTTAAATTTTTTTTAAGTTGAACCATAAATATAAATATAAATATCTACTGTATATATACATATATAAAATTTTGTACTTTATATATTTGTATTTGTATTCCTTCTAAACTGAGCCAGTTGTTTGGATCAGGGTAAGATTAATTTGATGTATTGATGTGGCATTGTCTAAAATCAGTTAGTATTGAATCTAAAATTATAAATCTTTAATATTTTTTGTTAGTCAGTTTTGATTGTACTTGAATCCAACTCACCCAATCCGTTGATAGCCCTAAATAACTAAACAATCATGAACATCCCTTTTACAATTTATTTTTCTTTTTTTTAATATATATATATATTAAAAGAAAAAGTCTAAAATTTTTTCCTTTTTCTGAATTTTTCGATAGGATGTCTAGATTTTTCGATAGGATGACTAAATTCATGATCTATTCTTTTTTTATGATTTTTTGACATATTTCTCTATTTTATCTGAAAATTGAATGAATGTAATGTTCCACATCGGCCAATGGTCAAGCACTAATGGTTATTTTTGTTTTACAAAGCAAAACTAAATGTAGAATTACAAGAAGCAACTCTTAAAGAGATGTCCAAGCATTAACTATTAATTTTATTTTGGGCTAGCACCTTTTTTAATTTCGGGCAACTCATGGACTATTTACAACAGCCAAGACAAAGAGGTGTTGATGAGTTTCGGCTTCTTATCTAGTTGCAATGATTCATGACAATTATAATGATGGTTACAAGATGGAACAATGATTATAGGAGAGTGGCAATGAGTTTCTAACAAGGTTATTGACAGGGGACTGATACATTGCAAACATCAATAGTTGGGACTCAACTAAATGAACAAAAAAACTAATTCGGCACCATTTCATGGCGTTTATTCAATAAACTCTGCCACATAGGCATTACCTTAGTTTTCCTCTCTTGTTCTTTCGTATGAATCGAGAATGACGAAAGTGGATTTTGTTTTTTGTACATGCTTACCATTTGGGGAAGTTATTTTTTAAAACTTCTACTAATGATTAAACGTTTTTCACTGTTACACTGATGTGATGCCTAATGGCGCTTAATGACACTTACTTGTCATAAACGGTTGTAATTATTATCTTTATTGATTTTACAAACAAATAAAGTACAAATGTTGAATGAAAAAACATAAACGAAACCAAACACATACATGATCGAAAAATTACTCAAACGATAATGGAACATTAGCCTCAGTGTACAAGATGAACTCAAACAAGAAAGGAAATAGAACTTAACTGCAACAAAAAAAAAAAAAAATTGTGAAAGATACTTTATGGAAAAGTCGAGGCTTGCTGGTTTGAAAATATTATTTTCGACGTAGTGAAAGCATGAGGCCACCGGGGGGTGCTACTATAGAGGCATAGGCACCATCTGATATCATCATGTGTTCCATTCTCGCCTTATTGGCAATGACACCATTCTTCACAACTTCAATTATTATCAGCCCCCTTCATTGTAAAGAAACGGTGAGCAACAACAACAGTTCTATTTTCTGTCACTCTCTCTAATGCTTCATGCACAGTGCACCACACACTCTGATTTTGCATCCAATGCACTTGTAGCCTTATTGAGCAAAAGGATCTTTGGATCCTATATATGAAAATGTTATTCTTCCAAGATCTGCACATCTGAATGTGTTAGGTATCTGATGCTAACATGTTTGAAGCAATGATTTAAAAGGCATGCCTAATCGCACAGGCAAGACGCATGGCCTAGGTCCTAGATGCACCACTTTCAAAAGGCATGCACCTAGTAGTCCTTGCACCTCAACCCAGGTATTTGCCTTTTTTTTTAATATTTTTTTCACTTTTTAGTGTATTTTTTAAGCATGGTAGTTGGGCTTGGACCCTCGAGGCCTTGACTAAGTCTTTGAAGCAAGTTCAAACAAGTCCATATTAAAATCTTAAAATTCTTAATCCCTAAATAATGATTTTTATAATTTTAATTATCTTTTAGAAATATCTTTTATCATAATGAATGAATGAATGAATAACATTAGAAAATACGGGGCTCATTCAGTCATCATAATAAAAGATAATATCATTTTTTAGGGATTGAGAATTTTAAAATCCTAACATGGACTTGTTTGGACTTGCCTCAAGGGGCTTGGTATAAAGGCAGCTTGTAGAAATAGGAATGAAAGATATAATACACTAATACCACATTAACTATTTGAAATAATGCAATTGAGAAAGAAATAAAGAAATTAAAAGTTTGACATACTTGAATATGTTTTGTATGCTATTATTTTTTTTTTACTTTATCTTCGTAATTGTCACTTTGAATATGTTTTATATGTTAATTTTATGTATTTAAATTTGAGCTAATAGTGTGATTTTTTTCACCTTGTGCTGTTAAAACACTGGTTTGAGGTCAATATGACCTTTTCGACATTAGCCAGGGTCATACCTTCTTCACTGCTTGAATCAATCTTAAGGCTGTGCTTGGAAATTATGCAAATGGAGTGTAAATCCCAATTCAGGATAAATTTGCACTCTGGTAGTCTAGTTCACTTTTGCATGTTTTTGGCAACATGACATTTATATATTGACAAATGACAGAAAATGCATTTTCCAATACATATTTACATTGACGATAAGATGTAAAAGTACATTAATAATAAAGAAGTGAATTTGCATTCAAGTGAGCTTTTGATAAAAAAAAGCATAGGTTTTATTGGAATTTGTGTTTGCATCCATCATAGTGAAAAGTCTATTTGGTAAAAAGGTAAATTTGTCAATGCAAAATTAACCCAACTTTACGATTTACATAAACCACTTTACACTACATATTTGCATTCACACTTATTTGCATCGTTTCCAAACGCAGACTAAATTTGCTGTCTAGAATGTTGAAAACAGAAGTAGTTGAATCTTTTGCGTTGTTCGTATATAGAGCCATTGCAATTTATCAAAAAAAAAAAGGAGCTGTTGCACTAGTTTGTGAAATTCCAGATGCTGATATTGTCAAAGGCAAAGAAAACCCGCAAAAGTCAGGCCATTAGAAACGAAAACAAACACTACTGAGAAATAGGAACAAGAAAACAAATCATCACAGTTCCATTACCTTGAAAACTTGTCCAAATGTTGCATGAAAACATGTTGCACAAGAATAGCTCCAAAGTAGAAGTATAAAGCACTAGTGCAAAAAAGCACAAGGAGAACCATATCCTCTGCTGCCTGCGACTCCAAGTTGGATTCCGTGTTTCATTGGAGCATCACATTTTTTCTGGTTTAGACTCTGCACAGAACGGTGCAACTATTCTAATACTACCTAGTGCATCATTTGCAACTTGACTTGCTTCTTCATACATTACCTGTAAGAGATTTGATAATTTTCTTAGCAGCCCAACAATTTCTGCAATGTATATTATTTGGAAATCACATTACAACCATTACTGCTGAAATCTATAATTAGTGTTAATCAAAATTACCATGTGTGTTTTTGGAAACCCCATCATCTAATTCTTTCAATGCATCAACCTAACAATAGAGTAAGGGAAATAGCCTTGACATCTGCACTAAATCCCTCCTGCAGAAACTTCATTTGAGCATATCCTTGCAGACCCACCTATGGTAACAAAACCAAAACTATTAGTGCCAATCTCCAATTAGCCAAAGATGCTATAATAAGTCCTGCTATGAGTGTTGATATGATCTGAACCATCAAGGTCAAGGCATCACCTACAAGACACTGCACATTTGAAGCATGGGCAGATAACCTTGCACCAATAGCCCCACTGAAATGGAATCAGAACTTTCTTGTCTTAATATATTAGAAAAAAAAATGGGATAAGTAAACTGCACTCCACCTCAGAATTCTGACTTAAACTGCAGACCTATAATAATTCAAAATTATAAACACCTCCACCTATAACACCAATACCTACCCGTGAATTGGCATCAATTCTGATCTGACACCTACCCCCAACTGTACAGTGGAACTAGGATTTCAGAGGGTGGACTAAACAGTAAAAACCCCTAGAAAATTCTATGTATAGAGGGAACTTCGGGGGTTAGCTAGAAATTGGTTAATCTACCTTGAATCTGCAGGTTCATCAAACCAACTAATTTCCTGGTGTACCACGTTCTCAAATGTCATAGATTGAATATGTTGTATCAATTTACCTCCAGGCTCCAGCAACACCAAATAAATATTGTTGCATTGGTACAGAAATTAGAGCAATGCAACCTCGACCTATATACTTCAAAACCCAAAACATGGACTCTTTTTGAAGTTCATGAGGATGAATACATTCATTTGTTCAAAGAGGAGAGCCACTTTCATCATCCATCAGCATAAATAGGACTGCAAACGGATTGAATTGAATTCAGATTGCAATCGAGCATTCAATGGTATAAATAACTTAAACTAAAATGATCAACATATCAAGGTTCAAAGTATCGATACGTATCATGCCGATGGCTTCCCAATATGCCCCTACAGGGGGTGTATCGGGATTCTGACCGGTTCAAGGGGTGGAGGAGCCTTAAACCGGTCCCCCTGAACCAGTTTTGCAAAAAAAAAAAAAACACTTTCGATATCGCCCGATACTCCCCTACCGGCATATCGATATTTTGAACCTTGCAACATATTATATATTATTAATAAAATAAATTAAAGTGAAAATAAAAATAAATTAGAAATGACTCTAATATTGTATTTTCATGAGAAAAATGAATTGAAAAATGATTGTATAAAACTTAAATTTTGATAAAAATACAACATTCAAACCAAGGATTATATTATATCGGAAAGGGGTATGATACAATTACAAATGGATCGAATGGGGACCACCTTAAATGTGATAGAGTACGGACAACCGGATACTGTTTGCAACCCTACCAAACCTA